CTCAAAAAATAAAAGTGTTGGAAATAGATTTTTTCTCATCGAAGTTCTAACAGTACCATATATATCCTTTCACAGTAACGACATACTATCATATTTAATGTCCTCAATATTTTGAAGACTTTTTATAGGGTCCGCTGTAGTTTTAAAAATCAAAGACCGATGGTTTTGACGTTTTTTCCGTGAACAAAGAACTTACAGGTATTTTAAATGTTTGTACTTCCTTTATTAATCCTTTAACGCGAAGTATTGCAGCGGTTCAACACTGACTCTAAAAGTGCGTCCAATTCTGTTGCAGATTAATATCTAACTTTTCTGAGCAAGGAAAATAATATGAAAAAGTAGGTATTGATGTTTGGACTTAAAATAACAAGATACAACATATATATCAATCTCATGACTTTGAAATAACGGGTTAAGAGTCTGGGCGTTAAAGGATTATACATATAAACATATTATACGATTGTAACTATTTCCATATCCAGTAAAATAGTATATAAATTGTAGAAGTCGAATTAACTCAATTAAAACCGTACTGCACTGAATATACCGTAAAATATTTTCTTGAGTTTCCAAAGGGTTATTGGTGTAGTGAACTGTAGTGAATAAGCGTTCCGACTATGGAACCGGTGTGAAGTTTTTTGAACGCGCTTCGAGCCCCACAGATTGATTGTATTAAGATTTTTTTTATTACATTCACTACATACTATATAATAATTACAAGACGGTTTAAATTGAGATAATTTGAATTCTACAATTTATATAAAATATTTAAAATCGTATAATATACTCACTTAATAATGGAAATATAAAAATTTTAAATATCTGTAAGTTATTTTTTCACGGACAACGATTTTTAAAATTACGGCGCAACCTACCGAAAATTCCAAAAAAATTGAGGTTTTTGAATTTTCACAACTAAAATACTCAACTGAAAAATCAGAAAAAAATCATTAATACGTGCCCACCACCGATATAAATGTACGTGTATAATTATAAGATCTGATTGTTATTTTACTGTTTCAGATTAAAAAGTTGCTGTGTGGCGCAGTGACCGGCGAGGGGGCGGGGGGTGGGCGATGTATGTAAGCAATTATTTTTAATAAAACAATATTATAAATAATATAAGAATCGTACTTTTTTTAAATTACCATCCTTTTTTTTTTTTTTTTTTTTTCGGGGGGGAATG